GAACATGTTTGTATCATTGGAGAATCTTGTTTTAAGGCAGGGTGTGCTCAGATCAAAACACATTTTGCCAAATTCGAGGCATTATAAAGTAATTTTTCATCACTTTTTGCCGTGAACTTGTAGCACTGAAAATACTGAAAATACTAGAACCAAAAGTACCAAAAGTACTAAAAGAAACAGTCACACAGTTCTGAAGATCAGTGCAGTCAAAGTTCTGCAACAGTGAGAATAAAAACTATAAAAACCTCTGCAGCAGAACGAGGATCTTCTTTGTCGCTGTAGATTCAGGAGAGACTTTGGAAAAGACTTCAGACATTTTTCTGAACGCGACCGAGAAGAGCGTCATGTTTCACTAAAGTGGAGTCTATAATCACAGGCTTTTGTTTTGTCCCAGATACTGCTACATACCTGCCATTCTCCACTGTGCAAAGTCACGGACAGACAGATCGTCACTGAGGGAAGAAGCTGGAACAATGAGGAACCGGTCACTGTGAGACTGAGCCGACTGTATATATACTGTACATGTGTGTTCATATCTGTCTGAGACCAGAGAGAGAGACCAGAGAGAGAGACCAGAGAGAGAGAGCAGAGAGAGAGAAACCAGAGAGAGAGACCAGAGAGAGAGACGCCAGGGAGAGAGACCAGAGAGAGAGAGACCAGAGAGAGAGAGACCAGAGAGAGAGACCAGAGAGAGCGAGACCAGAGAGAGAGAGACCAGAGAGAGAGAGACCAGGAAGAGAGACCAGAGAGAGAGACCAGAGAGAGACCAGAGAGAGACCAGAGAGAGAGACCAGAGAGAGAGACCAGAGAGAGACCAGAGAGAGACCAGAGAGAGAGAGACCAGAGAGAGAGACCAGAGAGAGAGAGACCAGAGAGAGATAAGAAAGACTTTGAAGAACTAATAAAAACGGCTGCAGAGTTTAGCGATTGTTTGGATGAGATAAAATAGACTTCATTGATGTCACAAAGGATAAATGTACAATGTTATCAATGAAAGAGGAGTTCCAGGGCCCAAAGAGGTTGGGCACCACTGCTCTATCAAACCTGAAAACACATGTATTTTTGCTGATAATGGGGTTTTATTCAATACCATTTATTTTGTATAGCCCTAAATCACAACAGGAGTCAAAGTAACAGCTCCAGACCTTCTCCCCCAACTCCCACTGATGTCTGCTGCTGTTGTGTCCTTGGGCAAGACACTTTGCCTATGAAGGAGCGCGGAGGTAATTGTACGCTGCATGCCTTGATGTTTTTATGTGTATTCATCAAACTGGACTTTCCCCACTGTGACATATAAAGGATTATCTCCAAAGAGGACAGTAACTTTAGTGAGAGTTTAAAAGCCTCATTTCCACTGAGTTTTCTATTCAAGTTATGGTGTGTAGACATAAATCTCAACAGTAGTTATCTCAGAGCACTTTACAAAAGATGATTCACCAACAGTTCAGGAAATGCAATGTTAATGAACACATGGGTCCATAAGGGGCTGATGACCAATGTCCATAAACGTCAATAAATGTCCATAAAAGTCAAGTGTGCAGGACCATCACCACACGCTAACTGTGCACACATTATTTATAAGTAAATACATGTGCAAATAACTTCTAATCTGCAGTAATGTATGCAGTATTTCTCAGCTTATTCCAGCCATAACAGAACGTGATTAATCGCCACGTCCAGAGTCAGTGTTGATAGCGCCGTAGTATGGAGCCAGAGCCAGAGCCAGACAGAGAGCCAGAGACAGAGACAGAGACAGAGACAGAGACAGAGACAGAGACAGAGACAGAGACAGAGCCAGAGAGAGCCAGAGCCAGAGACAGAGACAGAGAGAGCCAGAGACAGAGCCAGAGACAGAGCCAGATACAGAACCAGAGCCAGAGACAGAGCCAGAGACAGAGCCAGAGACAGAGCCAGAGCCAGAGACAGAGACAGAGAGAGCCAGAGACAGAGACAGAGAGAGCCAGAGACAGAGACAGAGAGAGCCAGAGACAGAGCCAGAGACAGAGCCAGAGACAGAGCCAGAGACAGAGCCAGAGACAGAGCCAGAGACAGAGCCAGAGCCAGAGACAGAGCCAGAGACAGAGCCAGAGCCAGAGCCAGAGCCAGAGACAGAGCCAGAGACAGAGAGAGAGACAGAGCCAGAGACAGAGCCAGAGACAGAGCCAGAGACAGAGACAGACAGAGACAGAGCCAGAGACAGAACCAGAGCCAGAGCCAGAGCCAGAGCCAGAGACAGAGCCAGAGACAGAGCCAGAGACAGAGCCAGAGACAGAGCCAGAGCCAGAGCCAGAGACAGAGCCAGAGCCAGAGACAGAGACAGAGCCAGAGCCAGAGACAGAGCCAGAGCCAGAGACAGAGACAGAGCCAGAGACAGAGAGAGAGACAGAGCCAGAGACAGAGACAGAGCCAGAGACAGAGACAGAGCCAGAGACAGAGCCAGAGACAGAGACAGAGACAGAGCCAGAGCCAGAGACAGAGACAGAGACAGAGCCAGAGCCAGAGACAGAGCCAGAGACAGAGACAGAGACAGACAGAGACAGAGCCAGAGACAGAGGCAGACAGAGACAGAGCCAGAGACAGAACCAGAGCCAGAGCCAGAGCCAGAGACAGAGACAGAGCCAGAGCCAAGAATCAACAGTTTCACATCATTTAAAATCCAATATTTATCAAACTTACCCGCTTTAGAGTGCAGAAAGTCCCTCTTCCTCCCTGGGCTTCATTGCACCAGGACAATGCTAGTAAAGAAGTGCAGCAGTAGCAGCAGAAGCTAACTCCGAGTTTGTCAACAAAACTCGAGCTAGCTTCACAGCGATCCGCAGTGCGCAGTGAAAAGCAGAAATGTTAGACTGTGTCCGTGTCCCTGAGGAGAAAAGCGCAGAGAAGAGCCGTGGAATGCGCTAATAGCGGAGTTAAAGTGCACAAAAGACTAAAGTACAATGACTTTTAGCGCCTGGATAATATTTCAGCTGCGACTGTCGGTGTTTGACAGCTCCCCACGCAAGCCCCGCCCCCAGGCTGAGGGAGTGATGGACAGGCCGCACAGCCAATCATCGAGGAGGAATTATCCTCGATGTAGTAGTAGGAGTAAAAATCTACTACTACTACTACTACTACTACTACTACCACTACTGCTGCTACTGCTGCTGCTACTGCTGCTACTGCTGCTGCTACTTCTGCTACTACTACTACTACTACTACTTCTACTACTTCTACTATTACTGTTACTACTACTACTACTACCACTACTGCTGCTGCTGCTACTACTACTACTGCTACTACTACTGCTACTACTACTTCTACTACTTCTACTATTACTGTTACTACTACTACTACTACTACCACTACTGCTGCTGCTGCTACTACTACTACTGCTACTACTACTGCTACTACTACTTCTACTACTACTACTGCTACTACTACTGCTACTACTACTTCTACTACTACTACTGCTACTACTACTGCTACTACTACTGCTACTACTACTGCTGCTGCTACTTCTACTATTACTGTTACTACTACTACCACTACTACTACTACTACTGCTGCTGCTGCTAATTCTACTACTTCTACTATTACTGTTACTACTACTACTACTACTACTACTACTACTTCTACTACTTCTACTACTACTACTTCTACTACTACTACTTCTACTACTACTACTACTACTACTTCTACTTCTACTTATACTACTTCTACTACTACTACTACTACTACTAGAACTTCTGCTGCTACTCCCACAAACTGTATACTACTACTACTATTGAGCTGTGTACTATGCTCAATACATAGCATACTATCACTACCATTACTACTACTAATAATAATAATAATAATAGTAATATGAATAATAATAATAAAAATATCATGATATTATTGTTAAGGTAATATCACCACCTGACTTTGTATCTTTCTTTCTGCAGTATCTGTCACACTCTGTTCTCATAAATGCGAGACATTCTAAATTTTGTTTTAGTATGTTTGCAGTAATATGTATCAACGTAAAGACATTTCTTGATTTCTTGAGATAAAACATGCGTTTATTTATTTGATAGTCAACCGATTATATTCTATCTACTAACCAGACAAAAGAGTAGCTTAAAGAGTAACCAGGAGACACTGTTTCTGATCCATGCAGTGCTTTACAGACTGAGACTTCATGAGCGTAAACACAGTCGTTGGTTCTTCACTTAAAAACTAAACCCAACATCTATAAACTGTATTTGGAGCCTTAAACACAGAGTTCATTTTGGGTGACGTTTGTTCAGGAACCTCTCAGGCTCAGATGAGAAGATGGCGCCCCCTACTGGAGCTTTGAAGCAGTGAGCATTCAGGCCCATTTCTACTTTTGTCTATATCCACATTTGGGCCATCCAGCAACACACAAGAAGCCGTACAGTGGTAAGTTTTCATAGTTCTTAGTCTTATAGTATTTGCGGTATTGCAGTACTTTTAACGTACTAACATTTGGTACTTCTACCTTCTGGTGTATTTACAGTATTCACAGTTCTACAAGTTGTCATTTTTATTTTATAATGGGGCTTCCATCTTTTTAATTCTCTGTTTTGAATGTTTTTGATCATTTTGATTGTATGTATTACCTTGTTATAATTTATTGTATGTATAACTAGTGTAATAAGGGATTCATTTTTGTATATTTTAATATTTTTAGTGTTCGGGCGCTTTTTTTTGTTTATTATATGTAGTCATTAAAATGGCTTCAGTTTTTATACAATTTCTATTTTTCATAATTATATTTTTGTTTAGTTAAATTCCTAGTTTTGTCCCAGCGCCCACACCGTCGTCTGCGTGTCTGGTCACGTGTCTGGTCACGTGTCTGAAATCACTTCCTGTTAGTGTTTTTCTCTGCTCCACGCTTCCACGGCTGCGCTACAAAAACAAACCCCTAAAACCTGAATTAAACCCGATTAACCCTCTCCAGAGCACCCACACACACCCACCCTGCTCCCCCTCTGAGATACACCCAGCCCGGGGCAGACATGGCCTCCTGTCCGGCCTCCTTCCACAGCAAAGTGACCGGGGTGTTGGAGCTGCTAGCCCGGGCCGCGGTGCTGGAGATCGGGAAGCTGTGGCAGGATGGGGTCGTGCTGTTCCATGCCGAGCTCCGCAGAAGAGACGCGGAGATCGAAGCGTTAAACACTCGGATCCTGGAGCTGCAGAGCGGGCAGAGAGCGAGCCACAGCCGCGGTGTGCTGTCCGCTGGGTCCCAGACGGAGCCCGGCGGACAGAGGCTGAGGACCGATGGAGAAGGTGAGAGTGGAGTGGACTGGGTGTAATAATTAATAAATCTGTGTTTGTAAAGGGCTTCTCAAGAACAATATATGCACAGTAAATAAAACGAGTCAATCATGTGTATTATTATTATTATTATTATTATGTGTAAAAGAAAATACAACGTTATGTATGTTAAAGACACCAGGATCTAAGCTAAGTAGAGAAATGTAGGAACAGGGGCCTTTCTGTGTGGAGTTTGCATGTTCTCCCCATGTCTGTGTAGGTTTCCTCCGGTTTCCCCTAGCACGGAAAACAGTCGGTATGAATGTAATGAGTGAGTGAATGGGTGGTGTTTGGTCGGGGGCTTTGATGGACCAGTGTGTTCTGTCATCACTGAAAAGAAAAGTATCTGTTTGGGTACATCGTAAAGAGCTTTGAGTGACCTTGGTCGGTAAAATGCGCTACATAAACAAACATTACTTATTTACTTAAATCAATTCCAAAACGCACCGCGGCACGGTGGCTGAGTGGATAGCACTCTCGCCTCTCAGCAAGAAGGTCCTGGGTTCAAATCCCGGTTGGACCAGGGCCTTTCTGAGTGGAGTTTGCATGTTCTCCCCGTGTCTGCGTAGGTTTCCTCCGGGTGCTCCGGTTTCCCCTACCACTAAAAATATGTACAATAGGTCTGGCATGTGCCTCCTGTACTGGCACCCCCACTCCCAAAAAATAACAATTGTAAACCGCTTTGAGACTCCGATGTGCAGTGAAAAGGCAGTATATAAATAAAGATTACATACTTACTTACTTACTAACCCAGGGGTGATGTGCTCCCTTCTGTTATAACCAGTGAGAAGTCTGGCTGCTGCGTTGTGAACCAGTTGGAGACCAGAGAGAAGGAAGTGACAGTGATCGAGGAGTCAGTGCAGATGTGAAAGAAACAGGATATGGATATTTACGACTAAAGTACAACTGTAAACTATTAAAGTCCTTTCCGTCTTTCAGGTCCTGTGATACACTCCTTCCAGAGTTTGTCTTTTGAGCCGCAAATTCAAGACCAAAACGACATTTCAACCAATCAGAAATCCCCGTCTCCTCCTCCCAAACCGGACAGCGACCAGGAAGACTCTGTGGTGAAGCTGGAGCACGAGGACGACATCCAGATTGTGGAGAAACCGGATCAGGATCGAACCGAGGGCCAAGGCTGGAGACCGACCCCCCACGAAGACCCCTGCTTTCTCGATACACAACAACATTTAGAGTCTGAGATTCTACTGATTAGAAACGCGTTAGACATTTTCGAGCGTTCTCCAGAGCGGAACAACGGATTCGTGAAAGATTTGGGAACGGAAAGTCAAAACATCGGCACAAACGCACAACCTGAGTTTAGCTTCACCATCTGTAACAGTTTAGAGAAGCCGAGCAACAACTCAAACACTGATGCTTTTGCGTTTGGCGACGGAGAAGCTAGCAAGGCTAACCGCCGCGTCAGAGAGCGGTGGTTCATCTGCGCCTTCTGCGGGAAAAGCTTCGACCGCATCAGTCATCTGGAAATCCACCGCCGCATCCACACGGGGGAGAAGCCGTTCACCTGCGACGCCTGCGGCAAGAGTTTCTCACAAAGAAGCAACTTACGAACTCACCAGAGGATGCACAAGAACGCACAAAGCGGGCCATGCCAAACTGCTGATGTGTCCTTAGGCAAGACACTTCCCCCACATTAGAATGAGTCTGGTGTGTGAGTGTGAGTGGTTGGTGGTGGTGGGAGGGGCTTTTGTCAGTGTGCCCCAGGGCAGCTGTGGCGACAGTAGTTTAGCAACACAGTGAAGTGTCAATAAAAGCTTTGTACAAAACTGATGCATTATTTTTGAAATGACATGTCATTTAATTATCAATATTAAAAATGACTTTTTACTGTTCATGTTTTAGAACAGGGAGAAACACTTGGGTCAAAAGTTGCGAGACTTTTTAAAACTTTAGAAACCAGACCTTGGAAAAGAAATATCTGTTTGTTAAAGCAGCATCAATGACCAATTAGCTTCTCAAGATTCATACATTAAATCAAACATTTTTGCCAAAACCTTTGTGTTGCATATTTGTCACTGAGACTTTGGGGTTAAAGGTCCTATATCAGGCTTTTCTTCATGTTTCACACTCAGTCCTGCACATGTGTGATAATAATGTGTATGATACACAACAATCAAAGCTTGTGAGATTAGAGCCATCTCTTGTACAGAGGTGACGTCACCTCGACTCAAACGAGCTGATCCAGAGTCTGCTCCTCTGTGAGCCCGCCCTCACCCGCCTCCCCCCGCCCGCACGCTGACGTAGCATCACCTGTACTTAGTCATTTCATACATAAGAATAAACTTTTTTCAACAATGACAATCCGTCACATGGAGCCCTATGTCCTCGATGCACAATCAGACCCTAGTTATTTAGTTTACAGAAGTATACAGGCACGGTGGGTGAGTGGATAGCACTCTCGCCTCTTAGCAAGAAGGTCCTGGGTTCGAATCCCGGTCGGACCAGGGCCTTTCTGAGTGGAGTTTGCATGTTCTCCCCGTGTCTGCGTAGGTTTCCTCCGGGTACTCCGGTTTCCCCTACCACTAAAAATATGTCCAATAGGTCTGTGCCTCCTGTACTGGCCCCTCCCATCTCTGTGTGGAGTGAGAGGACAAGTGCTCAAAAATAACAATTGAAAACTGCTTTGAGACTCAGATCTGCAGTGAAAAGGCGGTATATAAATAAAAACTTACTTACTTACTTACTATACAGCGAGTTAGCGTCACTACTTACAGATCGAGGGGGTCCGAGTTACGTCTTTTACCGTGGGAATAACGTGTTTCCAGATCAGCTTTTGAGTGAGTCCAGTTCCATTGTCCCTGTAGTTCTGGAACAGTCTCAGTGAAGTGTCGCAGATGAACCGGTTTATAATAGATCCATGAGATGAATACATGAAAAAAGTCGAGCCGCTTTCTTCCTCTTAGGGCCAAATAGTGTGTCACATATTTACACCCATAACACACTTCATTCAAGTTGACGTGATCCTAACCAGGGTTTCCTCCAGAGCCCCCCTCTGGGGGGGATCAGTCCCCCCCTAGCCATGGCCCTAGGGGGGGATATATCCTCAATTTTCTTAGACATGCATGTATACAATTCTCACATCAAAAAGTGCAATAACATTATTTTCATTGGGATACACCTGATCTGGCTCACTGTCTAATCTATAATCTAAAACATGATGATAGTAAAAAAATTACATAAAAACACCAAATCAGAAACTTCCGTACAGGAATAATGTGTTCTGAATCAGAGTCTCCTCAGCTGAATAGCGTTTCTCTTTTTTGAGGTCTTGCAGATTTAGTTTTAAGCGTGATTTTCACTGTATATGAACTTGGTGTGTTCATCCTGATTGGCTAAGGAAGAACCAGTGTATTGTGTTCTGCGTCCTGATTGGCTAAGGGGTAATCTCTGTGCAGTGTTTCCTGTACATCACAGCATTCACACTGACAAATGTAAATTCATGTCTGATTGCAGTGTGACTGTAAGTGCTGTATGCTAATTATCTCCTTGACAAAACCATGGACTAAACCCACAACATGGTTAGTGCTAAAAAGTTGAACTTCTGGACATGTTGCAACGATGACCGCAAAGAGGAGCACGGTGCGGAGCCCAGGCCTTTGACGAGGGATTTTCACACAGCACTAAGCCCATTTTTTTCAAAGAAAATTACAATTTTGATTTCAAGATTTCAAAAGGCTATAACTTTAAAGTTTGAGATAAAGGCATTTTGTAAATGAGAACTATCTTCAGTATGAACCAAACTTTGGGATGGAAGTTGATTCGTCATCTAATTTGCATATTGTGACGTCATCAAGGTGGTGGCCATTTTGGAAAATGTTAATTATTGTATAAAGATTTCAAAAAGCTGTAGTTTGAGAGTGTATTCCCTTTTGAGATCAGGGAATACCATCAATAGAAAATAGAATATTTTAGCACTGGTCCACGGCCATATGGAACTGTATTAGACCTTCAATGATCAAGATGGCACTGCTTATAGTTTACCAGTCATGAAATCTGCACTTTGGTTTCAATATTACCCTTTCAAAAGACCTGGTGGCATACAGTTTATCTCAGTGGAAATGAGGCTCCAGAATGCATCGTTTAGAAACAGAGCGATTAAATGAATGGGCTCAGAACTTGTCAGATTGTCTCAACAATAAGCAGGCTCTTCAACATTTCTGATCCACTTTTATGGATTCTCTTCTCTAAAGAACTGCCTTCATCATCATCATCTCCGTCCGTAAAGGCAGATTAGCGGTGCGTTTTCTTTCGCGGCTTCTGCCACGTCTCCTGCGTTCCCCGCGGTTGTTTAACCCTGCTGCATCCACCCATATGCCCGGTGTTATGATCCCCCTGTCCCCTTCACCACGTCTCCTGTCTGGTGTTCGCAGAATGTTTCCACTGTGGCCGCACACCGCGGTAAAGAGGTCCGGCTTTTCGGAGTCAGCGGTAAAGATGTCCGCACATTCAAAGCGGGTGGCCGCTTTATGTTAAAAAGTGAATTGTGGCGGCTCATCCCCGCGTCTTCTCTTTCCAATGTTGCTGTAATTAACAGCTTAAAGATGTTATCCGCTTTTAATGTGCGGACCGCTTTACCGCTGACTCCAAAAAGCCGGACCTCTTTACCGCGGTGGCCCACACGGAGGACGTAAACTGTGGCTGACTGTGGACTGTTATGGCGCGGACTCCTGTCACTAACAATGTCTGTGTCTGCTTCACTGGACACCTGCGTGTCTCTGAATCTGAATCTGAGTGAGCCAGTACCAAATACTTCTCTGATCTCTGTAGACCTCTGGCTCTGCTCTGGCTCCGCTCAGAACTACGGCTCCTGCTTCGCGTCGCTGCGCCGCAGGTGTTTTACAAACTCATTTTACTCTAATACTTTGAATATAACCATTCCCACAAAGGCCGCTCATATTAAAGGCACACATGTCCACTAACTCCTCGTGAAAAATATTAACAAAACTTACTGCAATAAACGTGTGTGGTTATTATTTTTCTCTGGGGCATTGGACCTCGACCCCCCCCCCCCCCCCCCCCCCCTCAAACAAATTCCTGGCGGAAAGACTGCTAACACTTTTAGTTGCTGACAAAAGCATAAAAACATCAAACAGTTTTGATCCGTCAATCACCTCCCGCCGGCTTTTAATTTATTTTTATTTTCATCATTTTTGACAAAAAACAGCATACTAATTGTGTATTGTTTACCCCGTTTTGACAAAAGTATTTAACAACTATTTTAAATACAAAGCAAACGGGGTCATGCGCGTCATCAGTGTGGTTTTCGTCACTGAAGTGGACCCGAGCGTTTCTGTGCCTCACGCTGGGGAAGGAGACAGATTGTTCTCTTACAAAAGATTGACAGAATCAATGAAGAAACTACTGTAGGCTTGTGTATGAGGCCAAATAGCATTGTAATCATGTTTAAAGCAGAGAAAAGTCAAAAACCGTGATATGGGCCCTTTAAGCGGCTCAAGAGAGAAAACGGTGGTCATGGCTGTCATTGTTTTATGGGGTTCTATCTGTAACCAATCTACTCTCCATTTACTAGTGCAGAGTTACATATAGAGCTGTGGTCATGGGTAATAGAACATTCTAAATATGGAGATTATTTGACATTTCAGAATATTTAGAAGGAAAAGGCTACAGGTCAGAGAGTCCCGTTTTAGAATCTCAAAACCATAGACTGTAAACAGGCTTCAAAGGTAAACCATGCTTTCAGGCTGCACTGTCCCTGAGCTGCCACCAGAGGGAGCAGGAGAACGTTGATTTCCAATTTAGCCATGAGCACTACGTTGAGTGACGTCACAGTGGTCTAGTTGCACCGAACATTTCAAACCAATGTTGTCAGAAAGAAAGATGAAAACATTGCATTTGGGTGAGTTTTATCAACAAAATATTTACAATTAAAAAAGGTAAACATTAGACCGTGTCCGACGGCTGTGACAGAGAAGTCCCAAAACTATCTCAAATATTCAAAATCAGGATTTCATCATCACTTATTTACAAACACATTTATATTCACCACAAATTATATTATTTATTATCAAATGTGATTTCAAAGCTCTTGTATAAACGTGTGAGCCGTGGTTTGCTCAGAGGCAAAATCCATTTGAAAGTGTTTTTTGTGCAAAACTTTTCCCACAACCGCAAGAAACTAAACCAAAAAGTGAGTTTTTCATTCAAAGTGTGACAAAAAGTGTTGAATTTAATATAATGAAACAAAAGATCCTAGATATTTGCTTTTCAAAAACACTAAAAGTTCATTTTTCCTTTGGTTTTTTCAATGACTTGGTGCGAGACTGAAGTGAAATCCAATACTTTTCTTTACAAAATATTTTTTTAAACGACAAACCATTTAAACCTCTTTCACATCAATATAAATTATCTGAATGACATTGATTCCAGTGTTTCACAAAACACTGGTGGGAAGAGGAACATTACTTCAAAATAATGTTACTCCAGTAAAAGTACAGAGTAGTAACTTAATAGTAACTTGGGGAGTACCTGAGAGAGGAGCTGCTGATGTGATCCTAAACGTAGTTGGAAGAGTTAGAATGTGGACAGAAGGGGCGGGGGCAGAGCAACAGCAAGGAGACAGTGTTGGAACAAAAACTCTAATCTCTTTAAAGCTCAGGTCCCTAAACTTTCCTCCAGTGAACGATCCAACAGAAAACTGTCTGCTGCTTCTGAGAAAACATCTCTTGCATTAGTGTAATATAGAGTCATGTGACACTGAGCTGACAGCTGATTGGCCGAGACAGGGCGGTCCTCTCTTCACTGACAGAGGCAAAAAAACAGTTTTCACAAAGTCATAGATGATCTCCAGTTCAACTGCAGCTCACAGAGTTCTGTCCTGGCATCACAGACGTCCAAGGTCTCCTCTGGACCATCAGGAGCTGGTCCGGAGCACCAGGAGCTGGTCCAGAGCACCAGGAGCTGGTCCGGAGCACCAGGAGCTGGTCCGGAGCATCAGGAGCTGGTCCGGAGCTGGTCCGGAGCACCAGGAGCTGGTCCGGAGCATCAGGAGCTGGTCCGGACCACAGAGCCCTGTCGGCTCGGCTGCAGGAGGATGGCGTTGGAATGTGGGCGGGGCCTGAGCTGCCCGTTGCTGTAGTAAAAGTGATTGTGCAGAGCTTCAGCGATCTGGAAACAGCTGCTGTCTGTGTCCTCGTCTGGGGGGCCTGGGGGGGTCCACCGCAGAGGGGAGGGGGGAGTCCAGGGAGGCATGTGGGGGGAGGGCGGCGCCTGGCGGAGGTGTGGGAGCTCTCGACACGGGACCAGGACTTCCTCTGGGTGTGGCTTTAGAGACAAGGGCAGACCAGAGTCCTGCAGGACACAACACAGCTGTCAATCATGTGCTGCTTTATAATGTTAGAGCCATCCGCCTCATCCATCTTTAACTTCATCATGTTCTATCCATGTTCATGATGAATATAGAGGGCCCCAGTGTCGACCCTTGTGGTGCCCCACAGTTAGGGATTTTTTACTGGTTCAATTTAGTCATAGTTTTCCATTTTGTTTATATAAAATATTATGATCAATGGTTTCAAAATCTTTCTTCAGATTAATGAAAATTCTTCATAATACAAATTCATTATTTTTAATACCATTAATTATTTATCCAATAAAGATGAATTGGTGCAAGTGCTTTAGATCTACAGTGTCTAAACTCATATCAAACAATAAACAATGATTTTATATATACTTAAAGTAATGTAGCAGTAGTAGTAATAGTTAGTAGTTTTACCAGTGACATGTTGCTGGTCTTCAGGTCGGACTCCACCCTCGTCCTCCGCTCCTCTCGCTCAAGCTCCTCTCGCTCAGGCTCGTCTCCCTCACTCCACAACGCTGGGCGACCGAGCTCGTCCACCTCCCCTCCACCAGGGGGCGCCCACCTCCCCGACAGAGTGGCCTGGCTGCCTCTGTACAGCGGCCGCTCCTGAAAGCATTTAAAGGACAACTCACCCTCAAATCCACTTTTTTTTGCTGATAAATGGTATAAACGAGTGTCCAATAGTGTTGTCTACATATCCTGGTCATAATCTTGTCACTTTGGTGCAAATTAGTTGAAAGTTAGACTTTCTGCCTAAAACCGTCTGTGAGGCGCCATCTGCTGGCGACCTGTATTACTACATTTGAATTTTGAATCTGGCGCCAACACTGGCACAGAAGTTGGACCTGACGTCAGCAGCCCCCCGCCCAGAGCAATGTAAACGGCCCAGTCTCGTTCACGCCCCCTTTAGTCCTCCAGGCTACGCCCATTTAGAGGAAGATTTGACCAGGAAATGTGAGTAACGTAAGCTCCGAGGAGCGGGGGTGAGAACCACTTTAAAGATATTAGAAAGTCAAAGGAAACTGTGACAAACATAGATTCAGCCGACGGTTCACGGTTCTCTGTTTGCTTCTCTGTGGACATTACTCCCAGGTGCATTGTGGGAAACTCACCAAAGACATCTGACTGTGCTTCATTCTGCTGTCGACCCGCAGCAGAGCGTAGTCTTCAGGCTGCGACACAACAACACAGAATCAGACCTGACTTTGTTTTGTTCAGCACTTTGAGTAGGAATTGAGCTATACAAATAATCTTGCCATGCCTAATTATTCTAATGCCCTTTATTATTATTAATTATATCAGTCTTGTTTGAACGTCTTAACTCGGTTCAAAAAGCTGCAGCTGTTTTTTAAACAAACCCAGACGTGAACACATCACCCCTGTCCTGTCTTCACTACATTAGCTCCAGTTTCGTTTCCAGCCGACTTAGAATTTTTACTTTTTGTTTTTAAATCGCCCTTAGTCTGGCCCTTAGTCTGGCCCTTAGTCTGGCCCTTAGTCTGGCCCTTAGTCTGGCCCTTAGTCTGGCCCTTAGTCTGGCCCTCAGTCTGGCCCTCAGTCTGGCCCTCAGTCTGGCCCTCAGTCTGGCCCTCAGTCTGGCCCTCAGTCTGGCCCTCAGTCTGGCCCTCAGTCTGGCCCTCAGTCTGGCCCTCAGTCTGGCCCTCAGTCTGGCCCTCAGTCTGGCCCTCAGTCTGGCCCTCAGTCTGGCCCTCAGTCTGGCCCTCAGTCTGGCCCTCAGTCTGGCCCTCAGCCTCGCCCTCAGCCTCGCCCTCAGCCTCGCCCTCAGCCTCGCCCTCAGCCTCGCCCTCAGCCTCGCCCTCAGCCTCGCCCTCAGCCTCGCCCTCAGCCTCGCCCTCAGCCTCGCCCTCAGCCTCGCCCTCAGCCTCGCCCTCAGCCTCGCCCTCAGTCTCGCCCTCAGTCTGGCCCTCAGTCTGGCCCTCAGTCTGGCCCTCAGTCTGGCCCTCAGTCTGGCCCTCAGCCTCGCCCTCAGCCTCGCCCTCAGCCTCGCCCTCAGCCTCGCCCTCAGTCTGGCCCTCAGTCTGGCCCTCAGTCTGGCCCTCAGCCTGGCCCTCAGCCTCGCCCTCAGCCTCGCCCTCAGCCTCGCCCTCAGCCTCGCCCTCAGCCTCGCCCTCAGCCTCGCCCTCAGCCTGGCCCTCAGTCTGGCCCTCAGTCTGGCCCTCAGTCTGGCCCTCAGTCTGGCCCTAAGCCTCAGCCTCAGCCTCAGCCTCGCCCTCAGCCTCGCCCTCAGCCTCGCCCTCAGCCTCGCCCTCAGTCTGGCCCTCAGTCTGGCCCTCAGCCTCGCCCTCAGCCTCGCCCTCAGCCTCGCCCTCAGCCTCGCCCTCAGCCTCGCCCTCAGCCTCGCCCTCAGCCTCGCCCTCAGTCTGGCCCTCAGTCTGGCCCTCAGTCTGGCCCTCAGTCTGGCCCTCAGCCTCAGCCTCAGCCTCAGCCTCAGCCTCAGCCTCAGCCTCAGTCTCAGTCTCAGTCTCGCCCTCAGCCTCAGTCTCGCCCTCAGCCTCAGTCTCGCCCTCAGCCTCGGCCTCAGCCTCAGTCTCGCCCTCAGCCTCGGCCTCAGCCTCAGTCTCGCCCTCAGCCTCAGTCTCGCCTCAGCCTCGGCCTCAGCCTCAGTCTCGCCCTCAGCCTCAGTCTCGCCCTCAGCCTCAGTCTCGCCCTCAGTCTCGCCCTCAGCCTCGCCCTCAGTACTTGTCCAAACTCTTGATCGCAAATCCATGAGGTCTTCAGCTCCTCCCGGTCCTTCTCAGTCCTGGACCCAGACTCTGCCTTCACCGACTTTGGACTTTTTAAAATCAAGGCTCAAAACTCATTTATTCAGACTGGATTCCAACACTTTTTACACTCATTATCGTGGAGGCACTTTTTGAAACTCTTTTTTATTTTTATTTTGTTGATTATGTGAAAGTTTTTATGGATTTCATGTGATTTTATTGTACAGCTCTGGTCGAGTGTCGTAAAGGGATCGATACATAAACGTTTATTATAGAAACATGGCGTCTGCTTCACCCCAGTTCCACGGTTCCATGATCCTAAAGTCTGGAGTTTGTGTGGTCACCTGTGAGCGGGGGTCAGAGTTCACCGAGTTCAGACGCCGCATTGAGTTCTGTCTCGACAAAGAGTTGATTTCTTCCCTGAAACAAAAGCAACATTTGGATCGGACACAGTTTAGACCGAGAGAGAAGACTGCAGCTGATGGACAGGTTCGTTATGATCCCGTCCCGCTCATACAGGTCTGAAAGGGGGTTGGATGAAGCGGCAGACGGCAACTTTTTTCCCAACTCCCTCTCACTTTTTAACACTCAATGAAATCAAAACACGATTCTAATCCTGTTCCATTCTGTCGGAGTCTGAGCTGGGAAAAGTGAGTCCGAGTTACGTTTCCATGTGACCTTCTTACCGCCTCCTACTGTTCAAAGGATGATAAAGAATGGCATGTTCTACCTCATCGTAATTCATCAAAAACATCCACTGTCCACAAAATTGAGCCGTTTTTAGCTTCAGTCCAGTTTTGGTTCGATCCAAGCGAGAACACAGATCTAAAGACTAATAAAACATTCAATAATAATCTGTAGAACTCTTTCTGTGGAGAGAGGGCTAACCACTCAGCCACCGTCGGACCATGTGTGTTATTTAGTGGTCTCACGTTTTCTGGCTGAGCTCCTGCTGCAGTCTCTTGTGTTTGTTCTTATGGTGTCTGTTGACCAGGACCATCAACAGAACCATCAGCAGCAGCAGACCAGCACCTGCTCCGATCAGGACCATCAGCAGGTTATCACTGATGTCCGCCAGCAGGAAGGAGCGCTCTGAGGGACACATGGTTACACACACGGTTACCCACGGTTACCCACGGTTACCCACGGTTACACACCACACCATCAACTGTTTACGAGCGGAACTGAGATTTATTTTCAAACGTTTCATAATTAAAGTAGCAATATGTAAGATTTTCATGTTAATTCATCATTAAAGGGCCCTAATCTGTCATCATTAAAGGGCCCTAACCTGTCGTCATTAAAGGGCCCTAATCTGTCGTCATTAAAGGGCCCTAATCTGTCGTCATTAAAGGGCCCTAATCTGTCGTCATTAAAGGGCCCTAATCTGTCGTCATTAAAGGGCCCTAATCTGTCGTCATTAAAGGGCCCTAATCTGTCATCATTAAAGGGCCCTAATCTCTGTCATCATTAAAGGGCCCTAATCTCTGTCATCATTAAAGGGCCCTAATCTGTCGTCATTAAAGGGCCCTAATCTGTCGTCATTAAAGGGCCCTAATCTGTCATCATTAAAGGGCCCTAATCCGTCATCATTAAAGGGCCCTAATCTGTCATAATAATAAACATGTTCTTTTACAATACTTCTTTAGCTGAAAACAGTAGTTCAGAGATATTTGAATTTCTAAATTAATTTAATTCTGATGTCCCGCCCTCCACTGTTTGACCAATCAGAAAGTCCGTGATCTCGTTATGATTCTCAAATCATTAACGACAAAACCAGGAATAAAACCAGGATTTCTATCTTTGTGAAAAAGGTGTTGGTTATAGATTTGTTGTTGACAAAACTCTCGTCTATTCAGCTGTTATGGTCCCAGCTGGATTCGTCTGCATATCTGGCAACCTGAGTCAGGGAGAGTGGGAGAGGCTGCAGTACCACTTTGTTGTGTAGTTGTTGTTGCAGTTGTTGTGTTGCTGCAGTAGTGTGTTGTGTTGCTGCAGTAGTGTGTTGTGTTGCTGCAGTAGTGTGTTGTGTTGCTGCAGTAGTGTGTTGTGTTGCTGCAGTAGTGTGTTGCTGCAGTAGTGTGTTGCTGCAGTAGTGTGTTGCTGCAGTAGTGTGTTGTGTTGTTGCAGTAGTGTGTTGCTGCAGTAGTGTGTTGTGTTGCTGCAGTAGTGTGTTGTGTTGCTGCAGTAGTGTGTTGTGTTGCTGCAGTAGTGTGTTGTGTTGCTGCAGTAGTGTGTGGTGTTGCTACAGTAGTGTGTTGTGTTGTTGCAGTAGTGTGTTGTGTTGCTGCAGTAGTGTGTTGTGTTGCTGCAGTAGTGTGTTGTGTTGCTGCAGAAGTGTGTTGCTGCAGTAGTGTGTTGTGTTGTTGCAGTAGTGTGTTGCTGCAGTAGTGTGTTGCTGCAGTAGTGTGTTGCTGCAGTAGTGTGTTGTGTTGCTGCAGAAGTGTGTTGCTGCAGTAGTGTGTTGTGTTGCTGCAGTAGTGTGTTGCTGCAGTAGTGTGTTGTGTTGCTGCAGTAGTGTGTTGTGTTGCTGCAGTAGTGTGTTGTTGCAGTAGTGTGTTGGCACCAGCAGGGGGCGCCCTCTCACCGGTCACAGTGAAGTCGTACTCTGCTCTTCCTGGTCCCAGGTGGTTCTGGGCCACACACTGGAACACGCCGCTGTCGTTGAGTCTCAGAGCTTGACCCAAGACCAGTCTGGACCCACTGACCTGGGACCCACTGACCTGGGACCCACTGACCTGGGACCCACTGACCTGGGACCCTTCAGGCAGAGCCCCTCCCCTCCTGAAACACACCATGATCCACAGTTTATTCACAGGAGCAGCACAAGCTTTGACTTCATCAATAATCACAGAACATTAAAAAGATAAAATCCTTCAGTTTTTGCAGAAACAAAACTGAAAAAGTTTAAATCCAGATTAAAAACAGAGCAGAGCAGGCCTGCCTCACATTTTCAGGAAGATTGTTCCAGATTTTAGCTGCATAAATCTGGAACGCTGCCTCCACATGTTTATTCCTGACTCTGGGACCGGCAGGAGGCCAGTCCCTGTGCTCCTCAGAGTCCCAGCAGGAGGCCAGTCCCTGTGCTCCTCAGAGTCAGGAGGCCAGTCCCTGTGCTCCTCAGAGTCAGGAGGCCAGTCCCTGAGTTCCTCAGAGTCCCAGCAGGAGGCCAGTCCCTGTGCTCCTCAGAGTCAGGAGGCCAGTCCCTGTGCTCCTCAGAGTCAGGAGGCCAGTCCCTGAGTTCCTCAGAGTCCCAGCAGGAGGCCAGTCCCTGTGCTCCTCAGTGTCCCAGCAGGAGGCCAGTCCCTGTGCTCCTCAGAGTCCCAGCAGGAGGCCAGTCCCTGTGCTCCTCAGAGTCCCAACAGGAGGCCAGGCCCTGTGCTCCTCAGAGTCCCAGCAGGAGGCCAGTCCCTGTGCTCCTCAGAGTCCCAGCAGGAGGCCAGTCCCTGTGCTCCTCAGAGTCCCAGCAGGAGGCCAGGCCCTGTACTCCTCAGAGTCCCAGCAGGAGGCCAGTCCCTGTGCTCCTCAGAGTCCCAGCAGGAGGCCAGGCCCTGTGCTCCTCAGAGTCCCAGCAGGAGGCCAGTCCCTGTGCTCCTCAGAGTCAGGAGGCCAGTCCCTGAGCTCCTCAGAGTCCCAGCAGGAGGCCAGTCCCTGTGCTCCTCAGTGTCCCAGCAGGAGGCCAGTCCCTGTGCTCCTCAGAGTCCCAGCAGGAGGCCAGTCCCTGTGCTCCTCAGAGTCCCAGCAGGAGGCCAGTCCCTGTGGTGCAGCTCTGACTGCCATCCCACCGACCCAAAAATGGATTAAGGGGAAGAAAATGGATTTGTGAGTAGTATTATTTTCTTATTTACTTATTTTCTGAAATCTTAAGTCATTTTCTTGTGTTATTGGCAGATCAATGTTATTATTAAAGCAGTATTTTACCTATTTTCATTTTTTTAAAGGATTTTTTTCCAGCCAACCATGGACAGCACGACAATGAGAACCGTGACGTCGCCCGGCATGGCGCAGCCGGGGCCCCACCCTGGAGCCAGGCCTGGGGTCGGGGCTCGCAAGCGAGCGCCTGGTGGCCGGGCCTTAGCCCACGGGGCCCGGCCGGGCTCAGCCCGAAGGGATGACGTGGGCAGTCCCTCCTGTGGGCCCACCACCTGCAGAGGGGTCCGTGGTGGCGAGGTGCTGAGAGGACTGGGCAGCAGTCGAAGGCGGAGACCTCGACGACCCAGTCCACACACCCAACATCTGGCTCTTGGGACGTGGAACGTCACCTCACTGGGGGGGAAGGAGCCCGAGCTCGTGGGGGAGGTCGAGTGATACCGACTAGAGATAGTCGGCCTCACCTCCACACACAGCTTGGGCTCTGGAACCCAACTCCTTGAGAGGGGTTGGACGCTCCACTTTTCTGGAGTTTCCCGCGGGGAGAGGCGGCGAGCTGGGGTGGCCATACTCATTGCCCCCCATCTCAGCCGCCACGTGTTGGAGTTCTCCCCGGTGAATGAGAGGGTCGCGTCCCTCCGCCTCCGGGTGGGGGACAAGTCTCTCACTGTTGTGAAGGCCTACGGGCCTAACGGTAGTGCAGAGTACCCGGCCTTCTTGGAGTCCTTGGGAGGGGTACTGGACAGTGCACCGCCCGGGGACTCCGTTATTCTCCTGGGGGACTTCAACGCCCATGTGGGAAACGCCAGTGACACTTGGAGAGGGGTGATCGGGAAGAACGGCCCCCCGATCTGAACCCGAGCGGTGTTCAGTTGTTGGACTTCTGTGCCAGTCACAGTTTGTCCATCACGAACACCATGTTCGAGCACAAGGGTGTCCATCAGTGCACGTGGCACCAGGACACCCTAGGCCGGAGGTCGATGATCAACTTTGTTGTCGTATCATCTGACCTTCGACCGCGTGTCTCGGACACTGGGGTGAAGAGAGGGGCGGAGCTGTCAACCGATCATCACCTGGTCGTGAGTTGGATCCGCTGGCAGGGCAGGAGGCCGATCAGACCTGGCAGGCCCAAGCGTGTAGTGAGGGTTTGCTGGGAACGTCTTGCTGAGCCCCCTGTCAGACGGACTTTCAACTCACACCTCCGGGAGAGCTTCTCCCAGGTCCCGGCAGAGGAGGGGGACATCGAGTCCGAGTGGACCACGTTCTCTTCCTCTATCGCCAATGCGGCGGCTCGTAGCTGCGGTCGCAAGGTCTCTGGTGCTGGTCCCGGCGGCAATCCCCGAACCCGGTGGTGGACACCGGCAGTAAGGGATGCCGTCAGGCTGAAGAAGGAGTCCTATCGAGCAATGATGGTTCGTGGGACTCCTGAGGCAGCTGTCCAGTACCGGCAGGCCAAACGTGCCGCGGCCCGGGCTGTTGCAGAGGCAAAAACCCGGGACTGGGAGGAGTTCGGAGAGTCCATGGAGCATGACTATCGGTCGGCCTCGAAGAGGTTCTGGCAAACCGTCCGGCGCCTCAGGAGGGGGAAGCAGTTCTTTGCCAACACCGTGTATGGTGCGGGTGGAGGGCTGCTGACCTCGACTGGGGATATTGTCGGGCGGTGGAAGGAATACTTTGAGGTTCTCCTCAATCCCCCCGTCACGTCCTCCGTCCAGGAGGCAGAGGCTGAGGATGTTGGGGCGGATACTTACATCTCCCTGGCTGAGGTCACCAAGGTGGTTGGCAGCCTCCATGGTGGCAAGGCGCCGGGAGTGGATGAGATCCGTCCTGAATATCTAAAGTCTCTGGATGTTGTAGGACTGTCTTGGCTGACACGTCTCTGCAGCATCGCGTGGCGATCGGGGGCGGTACCAATGGAGTGGCAGACCGGGGTGGTGGTCCCTCTCTACAAGAAGGGGGACCGGAGGGTGTGTTCCAATTATCGTGGGATCACACTTCTCAGCCTCCCCGGTAAGGTCTACTCCAAGGTACTGGAGAGGAGGCTACGTCCGATGGTCGAATCTCGGATTCAGGAGGAGCAGTGTGGTTTTCGTCCCGGTCGCGGAACACTGGACCAGCTCTATACTCTCCATCGGATACTCCAGGGTTCATGGGAGTTCGCCCAACCTGTCCACATGTGCTTTGTGGATTTGGAGAAGGCGTTCGACCGTGTTCCCCGGGGTGTCCTTTGGGGGGTCCTCCGGGAGTACGGGGTCCGGGGTCCTCTGCTGAGGGCCGTCCGGTCCCTGTATGACCGGAGTCAGAGCTGTGTTCGCATTGCCGGCAGTAAGTCAGACCTGTTCCCGGTGCATGTTGGCCTCCGCCAAGGCTGCCCTTTGTCACCGGTTCTGTTCACTGTATTTATGGACAGAATTTCTAGGCGCAGCCAGGGGCTGGAGGGGGTCCGGTTCGGGAACCACAGGATTTCATCTCTGCTGTTTGCGGATGATGTCGTCCTGCTGGCTCCAACGAACCAGGACCTACAACATGCACTGGGACGGTTTGCAGCCGAGTGCGAAGCGGCTGGGATGAGAATCAGCACCTCCAAATCCGAGGCCATGGTGCTCGACCGGAAAAAGGTGCCTTGCCCTCTGCAGGTGGGTGGAGAGGTCCTTCCTCAAGTGGAGGAGTTCAAGTATCTCGGGGTCTTGTTCACGAGTGAGGGAAGAATGGAGCGTGAGATTGACAGGCGGATCGGTGCAGCGTGCGGTGATGCGGCCGCTGTATCGGACCGTTGTGGTAAAGAGGGAGCAGCGTCTGCAGTCAGAGCTGTATCGGACCGTTGTGGTAAAGAGGGAGCTGAGCCGAAAGGCAAAGCTCTCAATTTACCGGTCAATCTTCGTTCCCTCCCTCACCTATGGTCATGAGCTTTGGGTAATGACTGAAAGAACGAGATTGCGGATACAAGCGGTCGAAATGAGCTTCCTCCGCAGAGTGGCTGCTCCCTTAGAGATAGGGTGAGGAGCTCGGTCACACGGGAGGAGCTCGGAGTAGAGCCGCTGCTTCTCCACATCGAGAGGAACCAGTTTAGGTGGCTCGGGCATCTGTTCCGGATGCCTCCTGGACACCTCCCTGGGGAGGTGTTCCAGGCACGTCCCACCGGGAGGAGGCCCCGGGGAAGACCCAGGACCCGCTGGAGGGACTATGTCTCTCAGCTGGCCTGGGAATGCCTTGGGGTCCCCCCGGACGAGCTGGAGGAAGTGTGTGTGGATAGGGAAGTCTGGGCGTCTCTGCTTAGACTGCTGCCCCCGCGACCCGGCAACGGATAAAGCGGAAGAAAATGGATGGATGGATGGATTTTTTTCCAGTAAAGGTACTTTCTAATGAGACTGGGACAGCGTACTTCACTTCCACGCTGCTACAGACAAAGTGGATTAAGTGTCTTGCCCAAGGACACACACACACACACACACACACACACACACACACACACACACACACGTTTGTCTCAGCCCCTCCCATTCCAAAAGCTCTTTGTGTGAAACATATTTAACCTGAAGAGAACACGTTTCAGAACAATCGCCCGATTCTTTTCTCTAAACTCCAACTCCCACTTCCAGGTTCAGCAGCTGCTCTTTAGGCCGAGCCGGAGCCGCAGGTTAAATGAAAGGACCATGAAAGGACAGACAAAGCCGGAGGTGGGTTCTGGTCCGGGTCCACAGAGAGGCTCACATTCACCTGGTCTCGGGTTTCTCACGTTTCTTCAATCAGTGTGAGAAACCTCTTTAGAAGCAGCTCTGCCCTGATTGGATCCAAACAGAGAGAGATGCTCCACAAAGACTGAGATAACAGACGTAATGAGGCGCATCGGGTCAACTGCTAACATTACAACCTGTTCTGACGCATTTTTAAAGCTGAGGAACCTGACTTTTCACATAAATAACATGTGTAATTAAAGCCGCAAGCGGCGATGAAAGGCCTCGCCCCTCTTGCGACCGCCTCCTGGGCGCCAGTCCCACAAGCGTCACGGCGACGAATTGGCAGCCCGATCTGACCAGGATTACGTATATAAAAGCTCATTTATATGATAAAGTGCGTCCCTAGTGGTCACCTCCGGGACATGCACCCTCTACGTAGAGTAGTATTTTGCTCGTACAGATGTAAAGATTTGATTTTGCAACTTTGGTGAAGATCGGAAAAGTTTAGGTCAGAAGCCTTCCATAGGTGGCGCTGTAGAGTCATATTAGGTGTGTGTTTTCACACCATTACTCTCAGGTTATTACCAACTGTTAGTGATGTGAGTTTCAGCTCTGTAGGTCTGAGCCTGTGGTCAGGAGAGCATCAAACATGGAAAAATTCCCCACTACCTCGCATGAAAACGATAACAAAATTCTAACTTTTATGCGATGATTGCATAACTTCAATCCGTCCAGATGGAGAAATGACATGGTAGAAGTCTGTGCGATGAAAATCCAGGGACTAGTACGAAGCCAAAAAGGCGACACCTTGAACTGCCTGTAGGTGGCGCTGTTGCACTCACAGTTGTGTGTTGTATATCGTTGTGTTCAGGGTCATACGCTGTATTACTGAATTCATTTTTAGCCTCATCGGACAAACATTTTGCCCCAAAAAGCTCCTTCATTCATTTTTCCGGCGCCCCCAGTGGTCAGGTGTAGGACTTACAACTTTTGCTTAATGTAATGTTTTGCTCGTCTCGGTCCAGAGAATACACTCAGCGATTTTCGGGCCGATCCGAGCACTAGTGCCCTATTACTTTCCGACAGGTGGCGCTAAAGAGCTCATATTGGGCGAATGATTTTAGTGTCATTGCGTTCAGGCCATAACCTAATATTACTGATGTGAGTCTCAGCTCTGTAGGTCTGAGCCTGTGGCCCTCAGGGCTCAACGAAAATGGCCAAAACGAAGGCCTGATTCGCCATGGCGAGGGACGAAAACGGTGAAGATTTTCTAACTTTTGTTTGATGATTATATAACTTCAATCCGTCCAGATTAGGAAATGACGTGGTAGAACTCTGTGTGATGAAAAACCAGGGACTAGTTCGAATTTCTAAATGAAAAGTCAAATTAGTGGCGAAACTTTGGCCCATCATGGCCGACTTCCTGTTGGTCCCAGACATGTGCTTAGACCGGCTTTTATGCTCGTCTCATAGAGATCTATCACTCAGCCGAATTTCGTGTACCTACTCTAAAATATGCAATCCTGCCTCCAATAGAAATGGCAAATTTTGAATTTTCAAGGGGGCGCTATTGATTCACCTTTTGTCGGACAATCTCGAAACGTCCGTTTTATCAAATTTTTCGCCGAACCGGTTGTTTTAGACCCCCCATGTGCAGACTTTCGTGCATGTCTTCAGGGTCAAAAATGGAATTGTTTCGGCGGAAAAAGAATAATATGAAACCACCGAATAACAATTTTCATTAAAGCCGCAAGCGGCGATGAAAGGCCTCGCCCCTCTTGCGACCGCCTCCTGGGCGCCAGTCCCACAAGCGTCACGCCGACGAATTGGCAGCCCGATCTGACCAGGATTACGTATATAAAAGCTCATTTATATGATAAAGTGCGTCCCTAGTGGTCACCTCCGGGACATGCACCCTCTACGTAGAGTAGTATTTTGCTCGTACAGATGTAAAGATTTGATTTTGCAACTTTGGTGAAGATCGGAAAAGTTTAGGTCAGAAGCCTTCCATAGGTGGCGCTGTAGAGTCATATTAGGTGTGTGTTTTCACACCATTACTCTCAGGTCATTACCAACTGTTAGTGATGTGAGTTTCAGCTCTGTAGGTCTGAGCCTGTGGTCAGGAGAGCTTCAAACATGGAGAAATTCCCCACTACCTTGCATGAAAACGATAACAACATTCTAACTTTTATGCGATGATTGCATAACTTCAATCCGTCCAGATGGAGAAATGACATGGTAGAAGTCTGTGCGATGAAAATCCAGGGACTAGTATGAAGCCAAAAATGAGACACATTGAACTGCCTGCAGGTGGCGCTGTTGCACTCACAGTTGTGTGTTGCATATCGTTGTGTTCAGGGTCATACGCTGTATTACTGAATTCATTTTTAGCCTCATCGGACAAACATTTTGCCCCAAAAAGCTCATCTATTCACTTTACGGCGCCCCCAGTGGTCAGGTGTGGGGCGTACAACTTTTGCGTAATGTAATGTTTTGCTTGTCTCGGTCCAGAGAATACACTCAGCGATTTTCGGGCCGATCCGAGCACTAGTGCCCTATTACTTTCCGACAGGTGGCGCTAAAGAGCTCGAATTGGGCGAATGATTTTAGTGTCATTGCGTTCAGGCCATAACCTAATATTACTGATGTGAGTCTCAGCTCTGTAGGTCTGAGCCTGTGGCCCTCAGGGCTCAGCGAAAATGGCCAAAACGAAGGCCTTATTCGCCATGGCGAGGGACAAAAACGGTGAAGATTTTCTAACTTTTTTTCGATGATTATATAACTTCAATCCGTCCAGATTGGGAAATTACGTGGTAGAACTGTGTGTGATGAAAAACCAGGGACTAGTTCGAATTTCTAAATGAAAAGTCAAATTAGTGGCGAAACTTTGGCCCATCATGGCCGACTTCCTGTTGGTCCCAGACATGTGCTTAGAACGGCTTTTATGCTCGTCTCATAGAGATCTATCACTCATCCGAATTTCGTATACCTACTCAAAAATTTGAAAAAAAATCCCCAGAGGGTCCAAAAAAATGAAATTTCTAGGGGGCGTTATAGAGTCGGCGAGCGTCGGACAATCTGGAAACGTTCATTTTATCAAATTTTTCCAAAAAAATGAAATTTCTAGGGGGCGTTATAGAGTCGGCGAGCGTCGGACAATCTGGAAACGTTCATTTTATCAAATTTTTCGCCGAACCGGTCGTTTTAGACCCCCCATGTGCAGACTTTCGTGCATGTCTTCAGGGTCAAAAATCGAATTGAAGTTGCGGAAAAAGAAAAAGAATAATAATATGAAACCGGTGAATAACAATAGGCCTCCCCAATACTTCGTATTGGCTCGGCCTAATTATAACAATACCATGTCAGAATGTGCAATGTGCAGAACCATGTGTCACTGCCCAGAGGCTAATGCGGCTAATGTACAGATGCAAGCAAACTACTATACACAGGATACTAGCTTCTTGATTCTTCATGTTATTTTAGTATAGAGTTCATGAGAGAGACCAGAGAGAGAGAGAGACCAGAGAGAGAGACCATAGAGAGACCAGAGAGAGAGACCATAGAGAGAGACCAAAGAGAGACCAGAAAGAGAGACCAGAGAGAGAGACCATAGAGAGAGACCATAGAGAGAGACCAGAAAGAGAGACCAGAGAGAGAGACCATAGAGAGAGACCAAAGAGAGACCAGAAAGAGAGACCAGAGAGAGAGACCATAGAGAGAGACCAAAGAGAGACCAGAAAGAGAGACCAGAGAGAGAGACCAGAGAGAGAGACCAGAGAGAGAGACCATAGAGAGAGACCAAAGAGAGACCAGAAAGAGAGACCAGAGAGAGAGACCAGAGAGAGAGACCAGAGAGAGAGACCATAGAGAGAGACCAAAGAGAGACCAGAGAGAGAGACCAGAGAGAGAGACCAGAGAGAGAGACCAAAGAGAGACCAGAGAGACCAGTGAGAGACCAGAGTGAGAGACCAGAGAGAGACCCTAGAGAGACCAGAGAGAGACCAGAGAGACCAGAGAGAGACCAGAGAGAGACCAGAGAGACCTGAGTGTTTATTGGATCAATAAAGTATCTATAGAACATGGACTCGGTCTGAACAGAGACCGTGTGTCTCTCGTCTCTAATTAGAACGAGGCAGTGTTTTGGTGTCATTATGGTCTTATCGAGGGCAGGGCTGTGATTAAAGGCTCAGCTCTGTCTCCTGCTGTTCCCCGACTTCAGTGTCAGCTTCTGTCCTGACATCATCTGTGTGTGTGTCCGTGTGTGTGTGTGTGTGTGAGTCCGTGTGTGTCCGTGTGTGTGTGAGTCCGTGTGTGTCCGTGTGTGTGTGTGTGTGTGTGTGTGTCCGTGGGAGTGTGAGAAATCTCTGTTGAGAGACCAGCTCTTCTGTCCTGACGTGTGTGTGCGTCCCGTGTGTGTGTGTTTGTGTGTGTGTGCTTCCAGTGTGTGTGCGTCCAGTGTGCGTGTGTGCTTCCAGTGTGTGTGCGTCCAGTGTGTGTGTGCATCCAGTGTGCGTGTGTCCAGTGTGTGTGCGTCCAGTGTGCGTGTGCGTGTGTGCGTCCAGTGTGCGTGTGTGCTTCCAGTGTGCGTGTGTGTGTGTGTGCTTCCAGTGTGCGTGCGTCCAGTGTGCGTGTGTGTGTGTGCGTCCAGTGTGCGTGTGTGCGTCCAGCGTGTGTGTGTCCCGTGTGTGTGTGTAATTGAAATGAGGCAGTGTTTCTCAATGGAAAAGTCTCAGGTTTGTGTGAACGTTTAGAGAAAAAGCAGATTTACATGAAGCTCCTTGAGCTCAGATCAGTTTCTATACAGAGACCTGGCCTCACAGAGACGGCTCCAAACATGCTTTTAAACTGACCCTACATTTTCATACAAAGGTTTGTGACATAGACGCAGGCTGAGGCCCCTCCCACAGAGGCCCCTCCCACACAGACCCAGACAGAGGCCCCTCCCTCACAGAGGCCCCTCCCACACAGACCCAGACAGAGGCCCCTCCCTCACAGAGGCCCCTCCCACACAGACCCAGACAGAGGCCCCTCCCTCACAGAGGCCCCTCCCACACAGACCCAGACAGAGGCCCCTCCCTCACAGAGGCCCCTCCCACACAGACCCAGACAGAGGCCCCTCCCTCACAGAGGCCCCTCCCACACAGACCCAGACAGAGGCCCCTCCCACACAGACCCACACAGAGGCCCCTCCCACAGGGGCCTCCCACGCCCTGGATGAAGACCGTACCAGGTCCAGGTGATGTTGGAGACTGGAGGCTGTCCTTTGGCCTCACAGTGGAGCTCGGCCTTCTCCATCCCCACAAACCAGTGTCCGGACCCGGGCGAGATCTTCACCTCTGGAGGGTCTGCAACAACACACAACACTCACTCAATTCAATAATAGCTAGAATCATTCGGCTTCAGGGTGTGTCCCGCAGCCCCCACTTTGGGAACCACTGGGAAACTCATGGGCTATGGCTAAGCTAGCGTTATGCTCACTGCCACGGTGGATGGGCTAAGGCTAAGCTAACGTTATGCTCACTGCCACGGTGGATGGGCTAAGGCTAAGCTAACGTTATGCTCACTGCCACGGTGGATGGGCTAAGGCTAAGCTAACGTTATGCTCACTGCTAGCGTGTTCTTTACCATCTACTAAAGCCACTTCAACGCATGTGTGTGCATCAGAGATTGTAAATATTAGTGTGTGTGTGTGTGTGTGTGTGTGTGTGTGTGTGTGTGTGTGTGTGTGTGTGTGTGTGTGTGTGTGTGTGTGTGTGTGTGTGTGTGTGTGTGTGTGTGTGTGTGTGTGTGTGTGTGTGTGTGTGTGTGTGTGTGTGTGTGTGTGTGTGTGTGTGTGTGTGTGTGTGTGTGTGTGTGTTTTTTTAATCATACATAATACAGAGTAGACATTGTTCCATGCACACTTATATTCACACATTCCTAGGTGGTGACTTCCTGTTGCTCACAATGACCATAAAAAGCATTATGATTCTAACACAAAAGCTAAAGTTGATCCGTGACGTCGTCCTATGTCTGAGTAATGAGGCCTCAAACGTTTCTAAATAAAATAAACACACCAAAGATCCCTGAGCTCTACGTCCTGAGCTCTACGTCCTGAGCTCTACGTCCTGAGCTCTACGTCCTGAGCTCTACCGTAGAGCAGAGAATGCAGATGAACTGGTCTTTAACATTAGCTTCAGCTTCTGTGACTCACTGTGACACTAATAATAACCATACATTTGTTTTCAACTCAGTCACTCAGACACCTCTGAGAGAGACCAGAGAGAGAGAGACCAGAGAGAGACCAGAGAGAGAGAGACCAGAGAGAGAGACCAGAGAGAGAGAGACCAGAGAGAGACCAGAGAGAGAGACCAGAGAGAGAGAGACCAGAGAGAGAGACCAGAGAGAGACCAGAGAGAGAGAGAGACCAGAGAGAGACCAGAGAGAGAGAGACCAGAGAGAGAGACCAGAGAGAGAGAGACCAGAGAGAGAGAGAGAGAGACCAGAGAGAGAGACCAGAGAGAGACCAGAGAGAGAGAGAGACCAGAGAGAGAGAGAGAGAGACCAGAGAGAGAGACCAGAGAGAGACCAGAGAGAGAGAGACCAGAGAGAGAGAGACCAGAGAGAGACCAGAGAGAGACCAGAGAGAGAGAGAGACCAGAGAGAGAGAGAGACCAGAGAGAGAGAGAGACCAGAGAGAGAGAGAGACCAGAGAGAGAGACCAGAGAGAGAGACCAGAGAGAGACCAGAGAGAGAGAGAGACCAGAGAGAGAGAGAGACCAGAGAGAGAGAGAGACCAGAGAGAGAGAGAGAACCAGAGAGAGAGAGAGACCAGAGAGAGAGAGACCAGAGAGAGAGACCAGAGAGAGAGAGACCAGAGAGAGAGACCAGAGAGAGAGACCAGAGAGAGAGACCAGAGAGAGACCAGAGAGAGACCAGAGAGAGAGAGACTAGAGAGAGAGAGACCAGAGAGAGAGAGACCAGAGAGAGAGACCAGAGAGAGAGACCAGAGAGAGAGACCAGAGAGAGAGAGACCAGAGAGAGACCAGAGAGAGAGACCAGAGAGAGAGACCAGAGAGAGAGACCAGAGACCAGAGGGAGAGACCAGAGCGAGAGACCAGCGAGAGAGACCAGAGAGAGCTCTGCTAATGTACACGTGCCGTATAGTGTGAGTCCAGGATCTGTAGTGCTGTAGATCCAGGTCTAAAGATCCTGTAGGACGTGGATTGATTGAATTGAATTAAATTGAATAAAATCTGTGCCAACACAGATTAGAAACAGTTCAAACATAGGAATAACAAACAGTCATTGGTTCATTGGTCCACAGGGGGCGGGGTCACAACACAGGGGGCGGGGTCACAACTGTCCTCCTGCATCAGAGAGGAGCGTGGGAAAAAGTGAGAAACCTCAGAACGGCCCATCATGAGAGAGGGATCCGTTCCCACAGACGGACTGAGGATCCAGGTCTCAGGCTGTAGAACGAGGACCGGGGGAGGACCGGGGGAGGACTGGGGGAGGACTGGGGGAGGACCGGGGGAGGACCGGGGGAGGACCGGGGGAGGACTGGGGGGGGGCAGTATGTCCCATTAAGAGATTAATACTCATCATTAAGACCATGTTCAAACATTACTAAATTTCACTTCCCATTTCAACTTTATCCTAATATTTACTCTGTGGATTTTCCAGTCAATCCCTAATCCAGGCTCAGATTAGAGATTAGAAAGAACAGAAGAGAGTCTGAGTCACAGAGATTCACAGAGTTTAATGTTTAGGCTCTATTTATTACAGAGCGAGGTTAAACTGAGCAAACAGACCAGAGGGAGACCAGAGAGAGACCAGAGGGAGACCAGAGAGAGACCAGAGAGAGGCCAGAGAGAGGCCAGAGAGAGACCAGAGAGAGACCAGAGAGAGGCCAGAGAGAGACCAGAGAGAGACCAGAGAGAGACCAGAGAGAGAGACCAGAGAGAGAAGCCAGAGAGAGACCAGAGAGAGACCAGAGAGAGACCAGAGAGAGAGACCAGAGAGAGAGACCAGAGAGAGACCAGAGAGAGAGACCAGAGAGAGACCAGAGAGAGACCAGAGAGAGACCAGAGAGAGGCCAGAGAGAGACCAGAGAGAGAGACCAGAGAGAGAGACCAGAGAGAGACCAGAGAGAGACCAGAGAGAGACCAGAGAGAGAAGCCAGAGAGAGACCAGAGAGAGAGACCAGAGAGAGAAGCCAGAGAGAGACCAGAGAGAGACCAGAGAGAGACCAGAGAGAGAAGCCAGAGAGAGACCAGAGAGAGAGCAGAGAGAGAGACCAGAGAGAGGCCAGAGAGAGGGCCAGAGAGAGAGACCAGAGAGAGACCAGAGAGAGAGACCAGAGAGAGGCCAGAGAGAGAGACCAGAGAGAGACCAGAGAGAGACCAGAGAGAGGCCAGAGAGAGAGACCAGAGAGAGAGACCAGAGAGAGAGACCAGAGAGAGAGACCAGAGAGAGACCAGAGAGAGAGACCAGAGAGAGAGACCAGAGAGAGAGACCAGAGAGAGAGACCAGAGAGAGACCAGAGAGAGGCCAGAGAGAGAGGCCAGAGAGAGAGACCAGAGAGAGACCAGAGAGAGAGACCAGAGAGAGAGACCAGAGAGAGAAGCCAGAGAGAGACCAGAGAGAGACCAGAGAGAGACCAGAGAGAGACCAGAGAGAGACCAGAGAGAGACCAGAGAGAGGCCAGAGAGAGAGACCAGAGAGAGAGACCAGAGAGAGAGACCAGAGAGAGAGACCAGAGAGAGAGACCAGAGAGAGAGACCAGAGAGAGACCAGAGAGAGGCCAGAGAGAGGCCAGAGAGAGAGACCAGAGAGAGACCAGAGAGAGAGACCAGAGAGAGAGACCAGAGAGAGAAGCCAGAGAGAGACCAGAGAGTGAGGCCAGAGAGAGGCCAGAGAGAGAGACCAGAGAGAGACCAGAGAGAGACCAGAGAGAGGCCAGAGAGAGAGACCAGAGAGAGAGACCAGAGAGACTGCTCTGCAAGCAGCACACAGCGGAACTTCATCCTTTGGAGACTCTTGTGTTCATGGCAAGAGGTCGTTTCCTCCAAAGCATCCCAGGCCAGATGGCTCCCCCAAATGGGACTGAAAGTCTTGGCTCACCTCGCAGCACAGAAATTGCTGCTCAGGTTAATTATCACAGGTGTTCTTTGTGTCGCTTTGTCTGGTCTCTCTGGTACCTCTTCTATATCTATCTCCTATCTCTTGTCTCTCTTGTGTCTCTCATGCGTCTTGCGTCATCTTAAGCCCAGTGTTACTCGCGCGGCGCGGAGCTTACGGATGGTGATGCGTGACGTCACTTGCGCAACGGTGGCTCACCGAAAGGCCCTTACGTTGCCTGCCAGGCACCCTTTACATTTACAATCAAGGGGTCACTGCAAGGACAGCTCCGCTGGTGATTGGTCCGTGTGTGTGTTTTGGAAAGGAAGCATGAAAGCGGCTGCAGCATGGACAATGGACGAGGCATTTCGGAGAAGACTGCTTTGTGTTCGAAGGAAACGAAGAGTAAGCAGGTGTTGGGGCTCCTGGCAGAGCCTGCTATACGCAAGAGACTGTGGACTAAGATAACATAAATTCTAACTTATAAACTGTTTACAGTCGTCTTGTTTTGATTGTTTGTCTTTGTTGAATCTGCCCTCGTTGGATTATCGCGTTCAGTTGCATTCCTCCGTACTTATAAAAATTGTTCTGTTTGCCTCAGATATTTACCACTTATTGTTTTGCTGTTGTGCTGAATACAATTTAATGATAACTATGTTTTCCAAACAAGAACGTGTCTCTTATTCACAACATCACAGCTTTAAATGAGTTAAGAAATAATGAGTTCCATAGCATATCACACAAACCTGCACTCGAAACGTGTAAGGATCTCAAACCACGCTTCAATTGTGTCCTGTTTTTGTTCTACAGAGGAGAAAAGAAGCAGGAGTGGTAATGAGACCGCTTGGTCTCTCAGGCACTCTGTGAGATCGCCATCTTGTGGTTGGTTGTGGGTTTACAACATTCTCCTCAACAACTCCGCAAGGAGTATAACACAAATTGTGCTTACGTAGGTTCCACGCACACGCTAACGTAAGCCGGTTGCCGCGCAAGTATACACTCAGGCTTAATCTCCTTCTGTTACTAGTGTCACTTGTGTATCCTGTCTTTATCTTTTTCAGTCTCTTGCGTCTTCTTGTGTCTTTTTTTTCTTTTTTCTTTGTGTCTCTTGTGTGTCTGTGTTTCTCTGTGCTGCTCTTCTGGCCTTTTCCAGTCTCTTGTATCTTTACAATCAAATTTTATTTATGAAGCGCTTTTCATTCAGGAAAATGTAAACACAGTGGCTTTACACTTTGGTTAAAACAAACAATCCCACATGACCCCATGACCCCTCCACCCGACCTGATCAATCACAGTACCCACCCAAAACCACATATTTTAAAAAATATCATCCACACATAGAATCGGTGTGTGCATACAATAGGTTTAAAATAGGGTTAAAAACCATGAAAGAATATAGGGCTGGGTTGCAGATGTAACTAGCTGAAGAAGCGCCATCCAAGGAGCATATGCACTTGATTCAGATTCAGATTCGGTTTATTTGCCATTTGCAGTGGAAAACACCATTGGAATACATTAGCAAAAGTCTCCTTAGTGTGCACAGACAAATACAGACATAAAACCCACATTAAAAGACAGAAATAAAACAAATAAAACAGTAAACAAATGTCACTGTGATATCGATCCCGACTAAAACAGTTGCAAAACAAGTGCCAATCAAAAGTGCTCTGTTCTAAAACTGATAACAGCTTGTGGATTAAAAAACTGTTAGCGTAACGAGTGTCCTGATCCTCAGAGAGAATATCTTCAGCCAGAGAGGGCAAGAGCGGAACATGGCTTTTCCAGGGTGGCCAGAAGAGTCATTAACAATCTAAGAGCTTTTGTTTAAAAGTCTGGATTTTATAAGAACTCCAGAACAGGAGCTCAAATCCACGGTCCTCTTTGCAGCGGCAGGAGCACCTAGTTTTAAAGCTCTCCTTTTCTTTATCTGTAATGTTTACAAACCACACAAGCACACAGACCAACAAAGTAAACTCTCAATGGTGCCGCGATAAAAGTTCAGCAGACTCTTAGGAGTTAGTGGCAATTGTCTAAGTTTTACGCAGAAAGTAGAGCCGCTGACGAGGTATGTGTGTATATGTGTATGTATGTATATGTATGTGTGTGTATATATGTATATATGTATGGTATATATATTATTTATTTATTTATTTATTTTTTGTTTTGTTGTTGTAGATTATTTATTTTGGATCAAAGGATGTGTGTGTGTGTATATGAGTGTATGGAGTGTGCTAGGGAGGGAGGGTTTGGGATAATTGGTATTTTTTCTTTTTTCTCCTTTCTGTTTTATAAGTTGCTTGTGTGAAAAATACCAAATAAATACAATATGGAAAAAAAAAAAAAAATGTAGGCCATCTGAGATGCAGCCGGATTGCAGGTTCGCTATGCTTCTAAACTAATTTCAAACACACAAACAGGGAAGAGGTTAGCCATGCTTCCAAACTCATTTTAAACTCAAGAAGTGGTTAGCTTTGCCTCTGAACTCATTTTAAACTCAAGTGATTCTGCTTCTAAATTAATCTCGAACACATAAAGAAAGAAGTGCTTAGCTCTGCCTCTACGTTCAAAAGTTTGAAATTACATGTTTAGTTTTGTTTAGTTTAGTTTAGTCTTTATTTGGAAGGGACAATGTACAGAGACATTAAGCTCAAAGACAGATATGTTCTGCCCCAGCTTGTAGCTAAACAGCTAGTTTCCATCTGTAGTCCCTGGTTACATCAATGTAACCTATGACAATCGCTGCCGTGGCGATGCATATGTCAGAACATTCTAAAGAACATTCCACAGAACATCCTGTAGTTAGGACTTAAGCAGGGGTCAAAGGACTCGGGCTGAGGTGTCCCTGGAGTCGGGCTGTATAGACCCAGGACTCTGGCTGAGGAGACCGAGGACTCGGGCTGAGGAGACCCAGGACTGCGGCTATAGACCCAGGACTCGGGCTGAGGAGACCCAGGACTCGGGCTGAGGAGACCCAGGACTCTGGCTGAGGAGACCGAGGACTCGGGCTGAGGAGACCCAGGACTGCGGCTATAGACCCAAGACTGCGGCTGTAAACCCAGGACTGCGGCTGTAGACCCAGGACTGCTGCTATACCCCCAGGACTCGGGCTGAGGAGTCCCAGGACTCGGGCTGAGGAGTCCCAGGACTCGGGCTGAGGAGTCCCAGGACTTAGGGTGAGGAGTCCCAGGACTCGGGCTGATGAATCCCAGGACTCGGGCTGAGGAGACCCAGGACTCGGGCTGAGGAGTACCAGGACTCGGGCTGATGAATCCCAGGACTCGGCCTGAGGAGACCCAGGACTGCGGCGCTATAGACCCAAGACTGAGGCTGTAGACCCAGGACCGGGCTGTAGACCCAGGACTGCGGCTGTAGACCCAGGACTCGGGCTGAGGAGACCCAGGACTCGGGCCGAGGAGACCCAGGACTCGGGCCGAGGAGATCCAGGACTTGGGCTGAGGAGACCCAGGACTGCGGCTGTATAGACCCAGGACTGCGGCTGTAGACCCCGGACTGCGGCTATACAC